AGTTAAATTTAATGTTTTTTATTTGAACAAGCTACATAATGGTTTCTTCTTTGTATCTTTAAATGTTTATGTCTGTTAAGTACATAATAAAAACTATTTAAAAGATAAAATAAAAGATCATTTGTTATTCAGTAGTGTCTGACTCTTTGTGACCCCATTTGGGGTTTTCTTGGCAAAGATACCGGAGAGGTTTACCATTTCCTTTTCCTGCTCATTTAATAGATAAGGAAACTGAGGCAAACAGGGTTAAGCGATTTCCCTAGGATCACACAGCCAGTAAGTATCCGAGGCCAGATTTGAACTCAGAAAGATGTTTCTGGATCTATAGTAATTATTTATAGGGGATGGTGCTTTTTTTTTTTTTTTTTCGGTTTATTCATCTCTCCAGCCTTAATTCCTGAACTGGGGCTTTGCGTCAAGATCAAGAACCACCTCCTGCTGCACTTTTGGGTGAAGTGGTCAACTGTGTGCTTGTGCTGCCCTTCTCTAGGCACCCTCCTAGATCTTGCAAGCTCAGAGAAGAAATCTTCAGGGCCCTCTACGGCATCTAGAACGGAGTCCTAGGAACCTTGGAACCTTGGGATATACCAGTCTAAGTGGTCTTGCTGTATTGGATGCTGTTGTTGCTGGTCCCTTCTAAGGTTCCCAGGGTGGTTTTTTGACTGCCTTGGGACTTCTGAGTAAGAGCCCTCCATGCTCTTTCTGCTGTCAGTCTTGCAAGCTGTGCATGTCTCTGGCCAGTCTTGTTAGGCTGTTGGCTTATTTGACACTTCTGGTTCTGGCTCTGCTATTGACCTTGACTGACTTTTCATGGAGTTCTGAGGTTGAAGAAATCTTTTATGTTAGTTTCTTATTGCATTTTTTTTCTTTTTGCTGAGGCAATCAGGGTTAAGTGACTTGCCCAGGGTCACACAGCTAGTAAGTGTCAAGTGTCTGAGGCTGGATTTGAACTCAGGTCCTTTTTGAACTCCAAGGCCTGAGCTCTATCCACTGCACCACCTCGCTGCCCCTTCTTATTGCATTTCTTGATCATTCTTTGGTCTGGTATGATTTTTAGCTTTTGCCAGAGTAAAAGTTAGGCTGACTACTTCAGTTCAGGCAGACATTTTGGACAGAAGTCCAACTCCTCATCTTTACATGTGAGAAAATGAAGACCTAGTGAAGGAAAAGGACCTGCCCGAAGTCACACAGGTAATAAGGGGGCAGAGCTGGGATTTGAATTCATGTCCTTTGTCTCCAAATCCTTTGCTTTTTCCATTGTGCCGTGCTGTATGGTCTTTGGTCTGGGTGGCATGGTAATTGGTAGCAGCCACGTTGTCCAGTGGTTTCCAATCACTTAAGTTTCATTTCTTGATTTTGTTTCTGTTGGACTTTGGAACTGTTGTGGTAGATGGTAATCTCAGAAGTTTCTGGACGCTGGAACTGTAGATATGAGTGGTTGAGATTAGTTGGGTTGTCTCAGTAGCAGCTGAAGGTTGGAACAACTATGGTGAGTGATTGGCTTGATGGCCACTGAAAGCTGGTATATGGAGGTGAGGTGGTAAGCTGCTAGAGAATATAGGTGGTTAGCCAAGCAGCTTTCAGAGGTCAAGACTGTAGAGATTGGGGTATGACACAGTAACATTTGGTTGGTGGTAGGGACAATGGGAAAGGAGGAGAATATGTACCAGTCACTGTCCTTGTGGATGAGAATACAATTCATAAGGCTAAGTTGAGAATAAAAAGGATAGGGAGAAGGGCTTCTATGATAACTCCATTGATCCCCGTAAATCAATCTATGCCAGTTTGCAGGGTCAAACTTTAACCTGCCTCTGGAACTGAAATGGACCTGGCAGACCCAGGCATGTAATTGGGAGACTAGGAAGCTGTTATAGGGACCAAGGTGGGATGGACTTTTGCCATTGGACAGTT